AAACATGTATATTATCTAGGGTGAAACAGATCACCAGCCCAGGTTGGGTGCATGAGACAAGTGCTCGGGCCTGGTGCACTGGGAAGACCCAGAGGGATCGGGTGGAGTGGGAGGTGGGAGGGGGGACCGGGATGGGGAATACATGTAAATCCATGGCTAATTCATTTCAATGTATGACAAAAAACTACTGTAATGATGTAAAGAAATTAGCCTCCAACTAATAAAAATAAATGGAAAAAAAATAAAAATAAAAATAAACTAAAAAAAAAAAAAAAAAAAAATAAAAACACTGCATCTGATAGCTCCTATACAGCTATTTCACAGCAAGAGCTTTAGCTCTATATATATTTAAATAGATTATATTTTGTACAGAAATTGTTTTCTTGAGAATATGCTACCTCTCTGACATTTTAATAGGCAATTACGGGCTTATACCTATTGACAACTGTTTAAGCACTTCTACAAACATCAATTAACTCATTAGCGATAAGGATTCTGGAAAGGAAGAAGTTAAAACTATGTAAGTAAGCTGCAGGCTTTTCATCAGGTCTTCTGACTCTATTAGTCCTCTTATATCAAACCACAGTCACTTCTCTAGTACAAACATATCAATACAAAATAATTCTCCTATTTCATTCATGGTATATACACTAATGGTAAATAAGGTAAAATTTAGAGAGCTCTTAGAAAATCATGATTGTTTTCTGCTGCAGTAACTTTCATTATCTCTTCATACTGTTTAAAATAGTAAGATGGGGGAAATACAATGAGAAACATAATTATCACTAAATGTACACTATGGCATATCTATCACTGTTTTCAAAAGTTCCTGCACAGAACAGAGGGTTCGTTTTCTCAGAAGTATAAGAATGACTTCCAAAGTATGGTCTCTGAACTGCCTATACTTTTCCTCCTTACCTTCAGTGGAAGTGATAAATTAACCTAATGATCAAGGAAGGGAAATCACTACTAAATACCAGAATAGCTACTGTTAGTAGCAAGAGTTTTTGTTTTTACTTTTTTTTCCTTGGTGGGAGGGGGACTTTTATAAGTTCATTCTGAAGAAACAATTTTTTAAAGTGCACGAAAGTATTTTTACAACTGATGTCCCCGTTTTTACAAACTGAAAAACTGCAAACGATGTGAAAAGGCCGTTGACAGGGCACTGGTTACAGAAAGGAGTGGAGCCAGGGGCAGACTCTGACTGAGACACCGGAGGTGATGCGGCCGAGGAGGGACGCACACGCTCCCCCCAGAGCACAAGGACATGGTGCGCAGCGCAGTCGACGGCAGAGCACTCGCGGTCTGCCTGGCCTAAACCGCAATCAGGGTCCCGGCTCCTTCGAGACAGTCGCAAAAATTTTGAGATTAATTCCTATGGAAAATATTAAAGGCCTCTCCTTGGATGAGGCCATGGTGTGTCCCTACCTGACTGCTGTAGACAAATGGATTTGAATTACAAATAGTATTTTCCCCAGCTCTTCCCGAGAGCTTTTCGTTGTGGGAGATCTGCTGCTAGGACCTCGGGGATGGGACCCGGTCCGTGTTTGAGAGGGACATTGGGTGGGGGAGTGAGTTCCTCTGCTCTGAGATGCCACTCCAGAGCTCTGCAGAAGGAAGGACAATCAACTTCAAGAGTGTCTGCTATCTACCAACTGCTGGAAAAAATCCACAGGGAGCATTCCTGCACCTCGCGAGGACGCCAGTTAAACACAGCTGTCCTTGAGGACTCTACTGTGAGGGAGAATCCAGCTGGGAAAGCTGGAGCCAGCTCCGAGCTGCTCACGGGGCAGGTGGACTGAGGGCTGACGGGCACAGAGGGAGGGGGTCCACGACCCTCAGCCACCTGCCACATGCCAATGGGGAATTTTTTAGAGTAAAGCATGTCGCCATCCTCGGAAGCAGTTTCAGATGACTGAGTTAAGTCATCAAGGTCATTCACCTAATTAATTTGGTCTTTGACCTACACATAAATAATACTGTTTCACAATGTCCTTAATGTCCTGTATAAAATATACCAAGTGTACAAAGGTGATAAATATCTATATCAAAGCAAAAGCAGATGCTTCTTCAAAGAACAGGTTTTTATCAACAGGATAACTTTATCAACAGAATTTCTAAATTATGTTTTCAAAGTAAATGTCTCTTCAACAAAGGAAGATTTTCTATGTTGCCACTATTCCTTTTACAAACTATTTTTTAGAGGATAATATATTTTAAAGTTATTTATTTTTTTCTTACTTTACCTTCTTCTCTTCAGATGCTGTTTTCCTTGCAGGCCTAAAAAAAAAAAAAATGATTCCTTTCAGGCTAAAATTTAATAACTCAAAAATATAAACAATACCTAAATGTTTTTTATATAACATCTTTGCATTCATTAAGTAATTTCTATAAAAGGATGAAACAATAAAAAAGAGTAGCATTAAAGGACAAAGAAAATATATCTGTAATGTTAATAAAACATTAAATTTAGATTAAAGGAAAAGGAAAAACCTAACATTACTTGCATTATGTGATAGAAGCAGTTTACCAGGGTTTTTTGCAGTTATCATTTTTAATAAGAACTAACTTTTATGGCAATAAAACCTATCTCGGAAGTATTCCCTAAGTCCTTATAAGAAAGAAACCCATTTTTTATCACCATGATATTAGCTTTTTGAGGGCTTATTATGCAACGGCTATGCATATTATGCATTTTAATCCTCACGATCATTCTGGGAGACAGGTAATATATTAGATCCTTTAGATAGGAAGAGGTGGAGCAAAGAAAGGCTGAGGAACGTGCCCAGGACCACACAGCAGTTCACCAACAGCCCAGAATTCAAACCCAGGAAATCTGGCCTGAACGCTGCTGTTCCAAAATAGGCTGAGAAAGTGATATTGAAAAGTCTTTTTAAGTAACATGATACCAAATGAATCTATATGATTATTTCATGTCTAGCTATAACTACAGATGATAATTCTGAATCTTAAAACATATTTCTAACAAACAAAAAGGCTAGATGTAGGCTATACTGGAACTCTCCTTTCAATAAAGATTTGTCTTTTGTAAAGAAGTTCACCAGTACACATTCATGCCACCGTCCTGCCGTCTCCTTACGCATCTGACATACACTTGCTGAGCACGTAATATGTGTCAGCGCCACTTTTAGTACAGGAAGCATGGTTTTTGTCATTTAGATCTCTATCATCCAAAGTAATAAACTGGAAAGATGCTTAATTGGTTCTATTGAAAATAAACAAAATCCTCCCCTTTTCCCTGGAAGCTATAAACAACTATGAAGTTAATATGATGTGATGTTTCAGAGTACCTTACAAAATCACAGCTACCCACGATGATACTATCAACTAGAATCAACAAGGAATGATTAAATCCTATTCAGTATAACCTAAGCATTTGTAAACTCATGATTATATAATGTTTTAAATGTATGTATGATAGAATTAACTTAAGTAATCATCTACATATTCGTTTACATAAGAATGTTACACTTCAGAGCCAATGAACAAGCCCTTACCAAAAACTACATATGAACAGGAGTACATTTGTACATAATAATCATGTACAATAATAATAATGTACAATTAATTTACTGTAATAGTTTAAAGATAATGTCATACAATCAATAAGCTTTCTAATATTGGAAATGCAAATAAGATTAAACTCAACAGACACTTCCTCCGCTGGCTCATTTCCAAAAGCATACACACTCTACAAGCTCCCCTCTTAACATGAACCAAGAAACTCCTTTCAACTCCACATTCCTCTTCAGTTACCATCCAGGTCTCCATTCCTGGCCCAGGAAATATTCCCTACGGAGCTGTTTATGTGTGTTCACTGCAGTCCAGCTGCCAAGTGGACTATTTGCTGAAACGACTTCTGGCCAAAGGCACGGGTCCTCTCCTTAACCCTTCTGCCGTGTTCATCCAGTAGAGATGAGGATTCTCTTCTCTTGGCCGGTATGCTATATTATGCTGCTCTATTTCCAGAAGAAGTATTCAGTGCTAATATTTCTTCCCCTAGAAATAAAGAATTTGTCCATGTTACCTGCTGTCATCTTGATCCACCTTCCTTAAAATGCTGTCATCGTTCACCTGCAGCAGACCATCAGTCAGTGAATTGGTCTTTTCAAATACTGGTGCAATCACACATTCTTCTGGTGTCCATTTGTCATTGTTCTTTTTCTCTATCTCCTTCCTGGGCACGCCAGGTTCACTACTTGAAAAAAATCCACAAAAAAGTCAATGTTGTCAAATAATTCGACTAATAAAGAATAAAAAAACAATTCTTGTAAAATTCCAACTCTTACCCATCTTAAGTCATTGATTAATTCACAAAACAGTTATGACGTACCAACCATATGCAACAAAACAAATTCTTCCTTCAAACACACATACGCAATTATGATACAATATGATATGTAAGAGTTGACATATGAAAGTGATAAGTGAAATAAGGAAGGCTTTATGGAAGAAGTGAAGAGAGGAGGTCAAAGGAAGAGAAAAGTGAGAAATCATTCTACTGGGAGATTAGAATGTGAGTACACAGATCAGGCACACAGCATCTGGGTTGTTTCCTAGGAACCTGGAAGGAAAAGTACAAAACACATGAAAGAGAGTAGAGAGATGCATCTGGAAAGACACTGGAAGAACCTCAAGGGCTACACCGAAAACCTGGAGTCCATTGGCTGAGCACAGTGATTCTCAGACGTGGGAGTCATGATTAGGTTTACACTATATATAATCTTTTGCTTTTAAAAACAGTAATGTTTAATTTAGGAATTTCCCTGGTACTCCAGTGCTTAGGAATCTGCCTGCTCATGCAGGGGGCACAGGTTCGATCCCTGGTCAGGGAAGACAGCACATGCCTCACGCAGAGCAATGAATCCTGTGCTCCACAACCACTGAAGCCAGCACCCTAGAGCCCACGCTCAGCATCAAGAGAAGCCACCACAATGAGAAGCCCAAGCACTGCAGCTGCAAAGAACCAGCGCAGCCAAATAAATAATTAAAAAAAAAAAAACAAAACCCACAAAAGAACCTCAAAGAAAAAAGTAACACTGAATTTAGATGATTTTTAAAATGACATGTGGCACATCCACCGTGAAAGAAGAAATCAAACTTAGTGGGGCGGGGGGGCAGTTTACTTGTAAACCACCCACATGATGGGGTGACGTCAGCATCATGGATGAAAGGCAGGTGCCCCATCAGTTCTCCTGCCACCAACAGCAATTTGGCCTCCATCCGTGGACATACTCAAAGTGCTAGGAGGAGAAAACTGCCAACCAAGAGGACCCGATCCAGAAAAGCTGTCTTTCAGAAATGAAGGAGAAATAAAAACTTTCCCAGACAAAGCAAACCTGAGGGAGTTCATCACCACTAGTCTCGCCTCACAAGAAATGCTGAAAGAAGTCCTCAGACTGAAATGAAAGGATGTTCATTAGTGACATAAAATAAATTAAAATATACAACACACTGGTTAAGGCAAGTATGCAGTCAAATCCAGAATACTCTAATATGTAACATGGTGGTATGTTAACCAAGTAACTAGTATTAAGGCTAAAGGATAAGAGTATTCAAAATAACTATATCCCTAGTAAAATATAAAATTCATAAATCACAAACATTAGCTCAAGTTAGAAATCATTTTACAGGAAAATAACAAATGACGTACTGTTAAATATTGATATAGGCTTACCTATCAGAACCTTTATTCTCCATAGCAGGAAACTCCTGCTTGTTATTTCCTCCACTCTTTCTCTGCTGAATCAATCGACTCTCAGCAGCAGCATCGCATACATTGTCTGATACTTCCACTTCACTACTTTCGTGCTTCTTTTCTTCTTCCACCTTTAATGAAAGTTTGACACGAAGAGTAATTGCTATTACTTAATTCTAAAGACTCTGTTTTCAATTTATTATTTGACTCAGCATTTGCCCAGATTTTAAGTGATAAAAATATTTTTGTGCTTACATTCATTTTATCACAAGTTACAGAAAGTTTTGTAAAATGTGCTTCTTTCTGTTTTGAGGGAAAGAAACAAAATTCCCAAAATTTCAAGAAAGGCTTTCTTAATAAGATACAATTATTCACATCCAGTCTTCCCCATCTGACTGGCAGAGATAGAAAAATAAAAACACATCACATATGTCCTCTTCGGTCTTTACCACCTGGATTTTCCACTGAACAGTCAGATGTAGAGGATGTGACACCTTAGTGCCTCAGAAACAGAAAAGAAGCTTTCTTCTTTCTGCACTAAAGCTATTCTTTCCCGACCGCCTTTTCCAATTCTTTTTTCATTTGGATCCAGGAGACAGCAAAAACCTGATGGTGTTCACTGAAATATATGACCCAAAGTTTACCAAAACACAAGGAGCAGAATGAAACTGAGGAGGTGTTAGTTAGTGTGGAATTCTGGAATATAAGGAATGCTTCCCAATTCCACATTCAATAACCATCCAATTTTATAGCTAGAAGGTATAGAAATTACTATCTACCTTTGCCCCACTATTTACCAATAACTGTTTTAAAATAAAAAAAGGTTAAACGATTTGTTCAAAGCCCCTAAAGTGGCATTCCTGAACATTTTATGGCACCAAAAGAGATGATACAATTCTGTCATCTTGAATCTGATAATTACCAAATGAATTCCTCAAATGAATCAGGTAAGTTAAAAGCATGACTTTGGCAAAGTAATTTAATTCGTTAATTGGGGGTAGGGTTCATTCTCCTTTTTCTTTAAAGGAGAATGGCTACATTTTTCTCTCTTTTTGTCTTACACAGAAGAGCAAGCACATTTAAAAACTTACTACTGAAGAAAGAAATATCTCACAGCATCTCAAACCTCAGTTTTTCCTTTGGAGATAAACACTTGATTTTTTTCTTTTTGTTTGCCGAGAGTTTATACTATCTATGGGCTTCCCTGGTGGCTCAGATGTTAAAGAATCTGCTTTCAATGCAGGAGACCTGGCTTCAGTCCCTGGGTTGGGAAGATCCCGTGGAGAAGGGAACGGCTATCCACCCAATGATATTCTGGCCTGGAGAAATCCGTGGACAGGGCAGCCTGGCCAGCTATAGTCCACAGGGTCACAGAGCGTCAGACACAACTGACCAACTCTCACACACACACATACTACCTAGGTGACAAAATCACACATGTCAAAACTTAATACATTTTAGTAAACAACACAGTGAAGCGGTCTCTCTCAAGAGAGACATCTGCGAGTGGTGATTAAAGCATATGTGGGAGTGCATGTATTTGTTATTAAAAACATCCTGAAGAGGCCATGTTGGAAATCTAAGTGCCCAGGGACTGCGGAAAGCAGAGAAGATCACACATATTCAACCACAATGAAGAGATTAGAGGGAACACGTGTTCATGTCCCTCCTCTCAGTTTCTGCCTTCTTCCCATTCTGTGGAAATACAACTTATATTTAATCCAAAAGAGTTAAAAAAAACAACAACTGCAAAACCCTAGTTGATCATACTCCTTCAACACTTTCCTTGGTGCTTATTCTGGCAAAGAAGGTCACATGGTATGGAGCTAAATGAGTTTCCCAGTCCATATGAAAGACTGACAGAGACAGATTGATTGAAGGACAAAAGCTATGAAAACTTTTTCCTGAATTCCTATTATTTGGATGGCAGAAATAATCTATTTCTACACAGTTACCTATTTAGATGACCCCACTTTATTCATAAGTAGAAAATCAAAATGGTCCAGATCACCCACAGAGGGAAAAACCAAAGCAAGAACAAATGAGCCTTTACCTCTTCTGGAAGCTGAATTTTCTCTTTTTCCAAAGCTAACAACACTACTTGTAACATGTCTATTTCATTCTTAAACTTCTGCATATCCTTCTGTCCATTCTTCACTTAGATACACTTTGGATGCTCTGTGACTATTCAGTGCAGAATTCCCATTTTCAAATTCGGGTTCCATGCTTTCATGGTCACTAGCACTGCAATTACCTGCATGCAGTAGCTTCTGGAACCAGTCCTGTATTGGTTTGCTTTTCTTATCAGTATTTTTCATGACAGGAGGACCGTGACTCTTTATTTGAATTATGTGTTTCATCTTACCGGAGCAGACAAGCCACAGACTAGACTGACGTGTCTCTCCAATGTCTAATTTCCGATTCGTGGGATTTTGCCTCATATTGTCTGATATTTGCATATCAAACTCCTGGTCTTCTTTCACTTTCAAACTAACTGCTCCCCTACTTTTTTATTTTCTGCATCATTATAAAAACTCTCCTCATTTTCAATAAACACATGTTCAATATCTAGTTTATCACTTTCAAGGTCTATTTTATTTTCACTGAAACAAAGCTTTGAAGATGACTGACAAGCGTATCCCGGGGACCCATCGTTTACGTGACGAAAAAACATTTTCGAGCCTGGGTTCTTTTTGTTCAGGACATACTTGGAGACATACTAGAGAGACAGGCACTCCAAATGCCTCTTTCTCCCCACAATCAGCTATATTATTTGCCGTGTTAGGAGGTATTTCCTTTCTGTTTGCTCCTTCTCTAAGGTGATCACCTAGTGGCTCCTCCTTAGGACAGACGATACTTTTCTATTTCTCACAAGTTTCACCTAACTTCTGCTTTAAGTCATTGTGATGGTTTTAACTTATCTTTGCATTCTAATTTGCCTTGTTTGATCCACATTTTTTCATACTTCTCCACACAAGGAGGCCCTGAACATACAGATCTGTCCTGTCTACCACATTCCTTATTCATTTCTGGTTCTTGAGGCAATTTTTGCAGCTGCAAAAGTGGAAGATTAATTGGGTTGATTTGATTTTCAGGAGTCTTTTCTGTCAGGGTACATGTGTGCAAAGTAATATAATCCTTAACTAATCCAGTATGGATAAATAAAAATCAGAAAATCATTAAAATTTCACTGTTAAACTTCTTACTTTATATGTAACCACTCACAAATCTCCAGATCACAACTAAGAAGTGAAAAATAACTTGCCTTACCGGAAAATAGGAGAAAAACATTAACTCACAAACCCAATTTTGTCACTGTTTGAATTAAACAATTCATACATGTTAAACCTACCAAAAATGAATTAGATGATTTTTAATGTTATAAATGCTTCTTCCCTTCAAAATATTTCACCTCACGATACCATATATAGGGAGTCCCTACAGCATGTCTGTTAAGGTTTTTGGTTTTCTTTTTTAAGGACTAATATCTGGAGAACAGACAAACTTTATATGACCAGGAGCCAAAATCAATTAACACTAATCAGAAAGAGGAACCAATTCCTAAATTTTCATGTAAATTATATATTATGATAGTGCTATACATCAATACATATTGCCTGCTTACATTCAGTTATGTGTGCGCTAAGTCGTGTCTGACTCTTTGCGGCCCCAAGGACTGTAGTCGACCAGGCTACTCTGGCCACGGGGAATCTCCAAGCAAGAAGACTTCAGTGGGTTGCCCCGCCCTCCTCAACCCATGCCTTCACAACCCAGGGATCGAACCCAGGTCTCCCACATTGCAGGTGGATTCTTTACTGTCTGAGCTGCCAGGGAAGCCCGACAACACTGGAGTGGGTACCCTATCCCTTCTCCAGGGAAATTTCCTGACCCAGGAATTGAAATGGGGTCTCCTGCATTGCAGGCAGATTCTTTACCAGATGAGCTACCCAGGAAGCCCCAACATCCAGTTATATTATGTTCTAATATCCACCAAAGAAAGTAGATAAAGCATTTTTAGTAATATCTACTGATTTCCCACCCTGAAATAAATTAGAACGTTATTATTTGTACCCTAAAAACAAAGGTCCAATCTAGAAGGTTCGATTCTCTTAATAAGCAACTGGGTTGATTCTATGACCCCACTCTCTCCCTGAATGTTCATCCCTAAGTCAATTATGCCGAGATCACAGGCAGAACGAATCTTTCATCTTGGAGTCAGTGACTGGCGATTTTAATGGAAAACCTTGAGCCACTGGGAATGATTTCTCTTTACATGTATCTAGGTCAGGGGCTGATATATTGTTCATAATTTCAACTGCTTAATCTTACAATTCAGTCTTTGATATATCACCTTCTTAATCATGTAATGAAGTTATAAAAATGGAAGAAGTAAACAAGTCAGGAAATTTTTTCCCTCAATTCCAAAGACGAGCTATAAATTCTAATAGATTCTAACAGTATTTTAAGTTGTATAATTAAAGTGCTATAAAAGCTATTAAATTATTATCTATCAATTCTAAAAGGGTAATTTTGAAAGGCAATTTTATTTGTTATGGACTCTGTTACACACTGTATTGTGTTGGTAAAGCATAGAAAATGGTATTAACCCAGAAATTTAAATTTATCGTTTTCCTTACCTGTGAATGGTTATTTTCATTTCCATGAAGTTTTTCTTGTTCTTCCTCTAATATCACTTCCACATCTAGTTCTCCTGACAAATCTGCATGTTTAGTTAAAATTACTCAGAATATTTAGATAAAAGACATAATCTTTGTTTAAAACACAGATTTAAAACATTGTACCAAATGACAGCTTAAGTCGAAATTTATCTTCAGATGAATATTTACTTGTTTAAGAAATACTTCCAATGATCAAAAACTTCAACAAACCATCTGAGAAACACCACATGTCACCAGGATACAGGGACACAAACACCTCAAAGATTCATTCATGAATTCATCCAAGCATCAGCGAAAAAAAACCACTCAGAAACCAAACAAGGTTTCAAAATACAGGACAGACATATAAAGTCACAAGACATTCTCTTCTCTACTTCATCACAGTACCTTTTAACAACACGCCAAGCTTCAACGGCATTATTCGTCTTAGTTTACAAATTCCTCTTACTTTTTATGCTTTTATCAATTCCTTCATCTGAAATGCTTCCCTGTGCTCTTCTGACAAATTACTTTTCATCTTTTCAGACTCAACCTGCTTTGTGAAGTTGCCCTTGATTACAGCTATCTTTCCCCAGATAAACAGCTATCTCTTTCCTTGTAGCTACCTTAGTACTTTATAGATTTTTCTAGTGTATCTTTATAGACCTCTCTAGTGATAGATATACATCTAAACTGTAAATTATTTCTTGACATGTCTATCCTCTTGGCTTCTAGACTGCAGAGGACAAGCTGTTAAAAATCAACTTAGTATAAATAGTCTTTATTTTTTTCAATAATTAATTGTCTACCTAGGTCTCACAAAGAGTCCCAGAGTTCTACGTATAATCCTGCTATCCACTCTCAGATGAATGCTAAATACTAGCCTAAACGAACTTGCTTCTCCAAACTCTCTTTGTTATTTATTATACTACTATGGTCAGAGGGAGAATGCAGACATCTTGCTAAGAGGTATTGTTTGGCTGTAGGCTGCATAAAAGGAGTCAGCACAAGGTAGGTTTTGCCACAAACTCGAATCCGGATCCGTCAGAACGATGGTAAGGCCGTGCCCAGGGGGTGCACGGCTGAGTGCCCTGGGCTTCTGCATTACCTTGTTTGCTTTCTCTGTTTTCTGGCAGCGGAGACTGGCCCGGGTGATGGGGCATGGAATTCCCTACCAGAAACATCGCTGCGTTTTTCATCTTTTCTTTATCTGTTGTGGTCTTCTGTCCGAGTTCTGTGGGTGCTGACTGATTTTTGGTCACTGATTGGGACACCAACGGACGCCGATCATAAGCTTTCAAATGCCCGGCTCTTTGACAAGTCTCACTATTGAGGCTCAAACTAGTCGAATCCCAGTCTGAAAAATGTGAAAACAAAGTCTCCATTTATCAGGATCTGAGTAAGAAACAACTCTGACTACCTCGTACAAAGTCCTTCTTCAGAGAATCAGTTCCACTTCCTCCTTCCCCTGAAACTCACTACTTCTTCAGAGGTGACTCTATCTTACATGTCACTGTCATTCATGAAGAGATGTTAACTAGCGTGTCTCATTTCTTCTACTTTTAAATTTTCTACTATTACTTTGATTCACTCAATCTTTATTACATACTCTGTATTTCATAAGAACTTTATTATTCTTTTCCTTCAACATACAAATATTTTATTAACAAAATTTATCTCTAATTTGTTTTATGTTTAACTTTGCATGACGATTTTGTGTATTCTAGAGACCATGATTTTAAAAATACTTTTAATGAATGGTACCACTTTAATTAATGGTAGAAACCTAGACAACATATTGAAAAGCAAAGACATCACCTTTGCTGACAAAGGTCCATACAGTCAAAGGTCTGTATTTTTCAGTAGTCACATGTGAGAGTTGGACCATAAAGAAGACCGAGTGCCGAAGAATTGATGCTTTCAAATTGTGGTGCTGGAGAGACTCTTGAGAGTCCCCTGGACAGCAAAGAGATCAAACCAATCAATCCTAAGGGAGATCAACCCTGAATATTCATTGGAAGGACTGATGCTGAAGCTGAAGCTTCAATACTTTGCACACCTGATGCGAACAGCTGGCTCACTGGAAAAGCACCTGATGTTGGGAAAGACTGAGGGCAGGATGAGAAGGGGAGGGCAAGAAGAGGGGTGGCAGAGGATGAGATGGTTGGACAGCACTGCTGATTCAATGGAGAGGAACTTGGGTGAACTCCAGGAGATGGTGAGGAACAGAGAGGCCTGGCTGCAGTCCATGGGGTCACAAAGAATCAGGCACGACTTAGCAACTGAACACCACCACCATCAACAACTACTTTAATTTCAACGAGATGGTCTTTCCTCAATGTACATGTAGCTTCAGAACTCATTTTTAAAGCCTTGGATAAACATTATACCCTGGAGAAGGAAATGGCAACCCACTCCAGTACGCTTGCCTCTTGCCTGGAAAATCTCTTGGACAGAGGATCCTGGAGGGCTATAGTCCATGAGGTCGCAGTGGTTGAACACGACTTAGCGACTAAACAAAAACATCATAAACTTACATAAGAAATGATAGCCTTGTGTGTGACTAATTGTTTCCATGTGAAAATAGGTAAGTCTAGGACCACACTGGACCCAAGGAGCACAGAGGGCCATGAGACAGGAATGAATACACCACAAAAAGCTAAAACTGTTAGACCTACATTTCTTAAGAGAAGTCAAAGAAACGAGCAAGAAATGTAAAAGTGAAACTTAAAACCCTGTGTCAACACAAGGGCCCCTTGATAATTTTACATCCAACCACTTCAATGGTTTAAACCAGTGGTTCTCAAGTGTCCCCTCAGAATCGCTGAAGTCCAGAGACCCATCGGGTCAGGGGGTCCAAGAGGTCAGAACTCTTTTCACAACAACACTAAACGTTACTTCCATTCTCATGCTGTTCTGAGGGCACAGTGGCGTTCTTCAGAGACACGATGTGTGGCATCATAACACTAAGGACTAATAGAATTAGCAATTATGATGGTGTGTGCTTGTATTTTAAGTTTTTCCGTTTCATTTTCCAATACAGTGAACAACAATAGACTTAAACAAATTTCCTTGGAATTCTCAATAATTTTTAGAAGTATAAAAGGATCCTAAAGCCAAAAACTTTCAGAATCCCTGTTATGAAAGATTATGTCTATCGAATCTAAGGTATGATTATTTCCCCTACTTCTAATAATCAAAGACACCACACACACACACACACACACACACAGAGTCTGCTAATCAAAACATTCGACTGGCCTACATTCATCTGTGTAAGAACACTAAAATGAAATAATTATAAGCTGAAATACAACTGACATATTAGCAAGTGAAGCTTTACTCTAGGGAAAGATCAGAGCTCAAATAAGCATTTTTGGACACTGGAAAAATCTTAGGGTCTAATAATTAATCTCTGAGAATTCCGGAGAGTAGAGAGATTCCAAACAGAGAACTTAATGGGTATCAAAACATATACAGAAACATCTTGAGCTCAAGCTTACATTTTAAACATTTCTTGTTCATATGCTTGTAAATATCTTTTTTTTTTTTTTCAAAACATGGATACCAACAATTACATTTGCCTCATGTATGTCCAATTCTTCAATTAAATTTGCAAAAAGAAGTTAGGAGTACGAAGAACTGGCATTTCAAATATCTCAGTGTCCTTCTTCCCAGAAGGGACTTCCCTGATGACTCAACGGTAAAGCGTCTGCCTGCAATGCAGGAGCCAGAGTTAAGCGTGTGTCGCAAAATTTACCTGAATTAGATGTTTGTGGATCCTTCGTTCCTACTGTTTCATTAGGAACAGAATCTTCCACTCCGACTGCGGGCTGAATGGGTTTGGAAACAAGTTGATTAATAAATAATGTGCATATGATACAATCCACAGTTCATAAATCAAGATAAAAGCATAAACATTTTTACCTTCACATTAGGATACTTCTCAGGAGACTCTAAAAGGCAAAAGGGACACAGAGTTAATCACATGTAAATATGAAAGCCAGCCGTACATTCATGCAGAGTTAGTACCGAGCAGAATCCTTGTGCTCAGCCTTGACACTGAATACATTCGGTTCCAGTGTCTTGTTTTTAGGGAGATGTTAGGACACTGGGAAGACAGACATATGAATCCATTATAGATAGTGAAGAAAAACATAGGAATACAGGTTTACCAAAACATGCAGTAAGATTTCAAAAGTAACATCATGTTTTCAATGACTTTGTAGAGAATATTAAAGAGCACACAGACCAATGTGAACATGCTGACTGATGAGGAGAAAATTAATCTTAATCAGAGGAGCAAATCGTGACCCCAAGAAGATAAATGTGAAAGCTGACGGTAAAATGCAACAGTATATCTTGAATGCAATACAGCAGTAACAGTTACACTGTTATACAAGTATTTAACATGTTCTTCAATCTGTCCAGTCATTTAAGAAGTGCACAGTTGGGATGACAGTTCAGCCAAAAATGTAATTCATTTCTCATCAGAGAAAGCAATGACCTGATTAGCTCGAATATACACTTGTAGAAAAACGTTTCATAAAAGTATTCATTTTTTTCCATACCCACGTGGGCTACTGGTATGCCTGCATGTCTGGGCTCCTCTAGTTCAGCCAACTTAAATTTTCTCGATCCACTCACGAAAGAAGGCATATAAGACACACCTACAAAATAATGCCCAATAGATTCTCAACATTGAGATACAATGATCAGAAAGGAAATAATAAGTTTAATTGCCACAGAATTATTAGATGTTAAAAATCTTGCATGTTTTAAAATCAGTGTAGTATTTCTTGAAAATAGCAATTCTAGCATTTAGGGAATGAACCCTATCAATCTGTTTTGTTTCAAAACTTAGTTTGGTTGGGTACATCATGCTAATGCTTGAAAGGATTTCTGTGAAACAACTGTCAAAAAATCAGTTATCTTATAAAAAACAAGTCAATCCCTCCATATTCAAATTAATCTAATTTGAATAACAAATACCAGTACAACATATATCTTGGATGTCTATAGTTACGTGGAGTAGCTGGGGTTGACCCTGCTTCGAGCACCCCCTCCCACCTCCAGGATTCTCTGGAGCAACAGTGATCTCATCTCTTTTCAGGGTAAACACACTGAAGTCATCTAGAAGGCGCTCCCAAGTGTCCTCATCAACTCCAAACTCACCTCCCTAAGGCCTTCCTTTCCTCCCTTTGTCCTTTCACTAGAGTCTGTCCTCTATAAAGGGTGATCTCTGGGTCCGTGGTCTTAATTCTTCCCCCTTTACATCCTTTCTATGGATCATCCCACCACTTCTTTTTCCTTCTTTGCTTAGCAATGGTATCTCACACCTATAATTGTACTTCGACTCTTTGCTTCCCTCTGGCTACAGACATGCTCAGAAAGAAAAACAAAATAATGCTTTTCCTTGATCCAGTTATGCCCTGCACTAGCCAGTTCTCTTCTTCCAGATTTCTCTAAATGCAAGGCTACACCCTTGCTTGTTAGAAACGCAGAATCTCACACCTTGTGCTCAGCACGTCCACTTCACACAGGGTCCCCAGGAGCCTAATTAAAATTTGAGAAACTCTGGTCTATACAGAGTCTGCTTCTACATGACTTCAACTTAATTTCTTCTCCTGAAATCTTAGCCTCAACTTCCTCACTCTGACACTTTCCCCCAGACTGAAACTGCATTACAAGTTGGAAACTTTGCAGTGGACTCTCGATCAGGCTGTAGGTGCCTTGATCTCCCTATCATGTCCCCCGCTCTCTCCTTCTTTCGGCCTATGTGACACCATCCTATAAAGCAGTGACATTTGGCATGACATCAAGTTGCAAACATTTACAGCTGAGCACCTATGCCCATGTTCCTCCACAAAGGATGACGCACAGCTCTGCATGCCCAGGGACCTCAATCCTGAATCCTCCATAACACTGAGGAAAACAGAAAGGGGGGAACACTTTGCTGCTCTTCTCTGATAAGTTTAGGTGCTGGAAGCTCACTTCACATTCACCATCCACGTCAAACACTCCCTTTTCCCAGAGACCTATCTTACGTATGGCCCCGTCCCCCATAGGCCCTTGCTTCTTTTTCCTTCATGTCCTCCCTGTGCCCTGCCTCTCTCATCCTTCATTCCCTCTTTCCTCTTATTTCTCGACCGTCCTTTGGTTGTTGAGTATCTTGAAACAGAACCAATACTTTTTTCTTTTGTCCATGTGCCAGGTGGAGTCTTAGCTCCCTGACCAGGGATCGAGCCTCCACCCTTGCACAGGACAGTCTTAACATTTGGACCTCCAAGAAGTCCAGGAACTAATAATTTAGCTCCTTAAACTGGATTCTCAATTTCATCTGTGCCTGACACCTGATAAGATACACAATTTCCCTCCTCTTCTCATCTTTTTCCTCCCTACGCATCTGACAGGTGTTGTTTTTGTTTTTTTTTGCCTGTTAGAATATTCCCATTATAAATCAATGTTCTGCCAAATAACCTTTCTATAAAATACAGTTCTTACCTTCTGCTTGTCCATTTAATGTATTGTTTCCTCTTTGATCTCCAGATAAATGATCCACAAACTTCTGTGGAACACTCTCAGAGATACTCTGTTAAAATGAATATTGAGTTCCATGAAGGTTTCCTAATGTCTTCTTAAGAAAATACCCTACTTTTAAAAACTGCCTACATTTAATCCAGTTAAGACAGGTTTTGCCAAGATCTCACAGCTGCCAAATGACAGAACCTGGATGCTGACTTCATACACTGCTGGATCACCAGGCAGTGGCTGCCAGCACTGAAGACATCAGGCCCTTCCTATCTCCTTCCATAGCTGCCACCTTCAAACAGGGCATCGTTACTTAATGTCACCTCAGGTACGGCTGCCATAAAGGTATTCTGCCCTGCTACTTCAGTTTAGTCTCTCAGTCGTGTCCGACTCTTTGCGACCCCATGGACTGTAGCCCGCCTAGCTCCTCCATCCATGGGATTTTCCAGGCAAGAGTACTGGAGTGGACAGCCATTTCCTTCTCCAGGGGATCTTTCCGACCCAGGGATCCAACCTTGGTCTAATACGTTGTAGGCAGACACTTTACCGTCGGAGCCACCAGGGAAGTCCCCCTGCTATTTAAACAATCCAAAATGGTTTGTACTTATTAAAACACTGCTAAAGCAAACTGTCGTCATTAAAACCCCACATATTCATTACTATTCCCCATGCTTTTGCTTCTATTGAAACGTTTCTTTCCAGATTAACCTGACAATCCAAACACAGAAACACTTTCAAGGTTCAAGCATCATCTTTCAAGGTCCAAGTGATAACAAACCACAATTCAACCTGTTTCTCTCTGACCCTCTCTAGCAGTTTTACACATGCATATGTGTAAAGAAACATATGTACCAGAGAAACATACATTTGGCTGGGAGATTGGGGCTGACACATACAGGCTACACACTATTGTGTATAAAACAGATAACTGATGAGGACCTGCTGTCTAGCACAGGGAATGCCACTCAATATTCTGCAATGACGCATATGGGAAAAGAATCTAAAACAGAGGTGATACACACATACACACACACACACACACACACAAAACAAAGAAACATGCGGCCATGGACTGACCTGAAACAATATTTCAATATTCAGATAAATGTAACTTCAGAACTCAAACGGATTCCTTATGATCTCTAAGCCTTGGTTTCTGTACTACACTGACTTCATTAGGTGAATCTTGCAAATGAACAAAAGTGTACTATGTGGTAATTTAGCACAGAAAATAGGTTAAAAGTAAGAACAAAGTTTTGATGGGGAAATGCAAAGGTGAGAAAGCCACAGCATCTCCTGCTTTCATGTTCTTATTACTCAGGGCTTACATTTCAAAACAGTAACAGAAGACAGTACCTCAGAATCCCAAGGTGATTCTATATTTTCCTCTTCTCCCAGTCCTACGGCTGACATTATGTCTGGAAAATGCATCACAGATATATTAATGAGAACATTCACTACTATGAATTTTAAAGACATATGTAAGTCTATCTCTATCCACAAATATTTCAATAAAATAAAGTGGTGGAAAAGAATTTCAGAGGGTTGAAGCATTTTCAGGAAGAAAAAGTTGGTAGTAGGTGGGACACTTCTGAAGAAAGAGAGCAAAAGAAATGTACTTCAAACAAAATGGATATTGTATTTGGATCCATACCCTTTACATGTTTTTATATTTGCTTTTAAGTATAGAAAAAATTCACAGACATTCACTAACTTACCACTTTTATTATTTTTGTGTGCTCTATCAACAGAAGTCAAATGGTCATGATCTGCTTGTTCTTGGGGCGCCCTTTCAATAATATAAGTATCACTTTCCTTTTCAACAAGTTCTGGCTTTGTGGCTCCTTCCTATAAAAACAAGACAAGATAAAACCAAAACCCAACCTCAGAGAGCATATTCATTCATTTGGCCATTCAGTGCATCAGTAAGACGACAAGCACTCACTGTGTCTAGGACATCCTTCAGCACCTCCCGGGAGGAGTTAGAACTGTGAAGAAAAGCGACTCTGCTCTGTCTGGGTGAGGCAGAGACACATGGAAACAAACGAGAGCAGAAGAGGATCCTTCGGCAGCTCTGCAGCTGAGGGGGACAGAGTGCGGGACAGGCTCCAAGGGGAGAGGAGGCGGGAGGACCCGCGAAGCTCACGGAACGCTGGGACAGGGGCTGTGTCTCAGAGACAGAGCGTGCGCAGCCGGGACAGGAGGGGGGTTCTAGGAAGGGCGGCCCGAACCCACAGATGCGGTGTGCACCAACGTCAACAGCTCATGTGGAAAACACATCACAGTTACTGGGAACTGTATCAAGACAAACCTGGAGGACCAGGTTCACACAGGAAAAGGCAAGTGTCATCTTCTTCCTTCAAGTGACGGGGATCTACTAAACAAGTAAAGGCATTACATCATCACAAAACTATTTTATTTTATTTGGTGCCATGCTTTTATTCAAATGAAAGGGAAAAGACTGCCCTGCACTAGGAAGTACCAAGTTCAATTTGGTTCAGTCGCTCAGTCATGTCCGACTCTTTGTGACCCCATGGGCGGCAGTACGCCAGGCCTCCCTGCTCATTGCCAACTCACAAAGTTTAGTCAAACTCATGTCCATTGAGTCAGTGATGCCATCCAACCATCTCATCCTCTGTCGTCCCCTTCTCCTCCTGCTTTCAATCTTTCCCAGCATCAGGGTCTTTTCTAATGAGTCAGTTCTTCGCATCAGGTGGCCAAAATTTCAGCTTCAGCATCAGTCCTTCCAATGAATAGTCAGGACTGATGTCCTTTAGGATGGACTGGTTGGATCTCCTTGTAGTCCGAGGGACTCTCAGGCGTCTTCTCCGACAACACAGTTCAAAAGCATCACTTCTTTGGCACTCAGCTGTCTTTATAGTCCAACTTTCACATCCATACTTGAGTACTGGAAAAATCATAGCTTTGACTAGATGGACTTTGGTTGGCAAAGTAATGTCTCTGCTTTTTAATATGCTGCCTAGATTGGTCATAACTTTTCTTCCAAAGAGCAAGTGTCTTTTAATTCCATGGCTGAAGTCACCATCTGCAGTGATTTTGGAGCCCAAGAAAATACAGTCTGTCATTGTTTCCACTGTTTCCCCATCTATTTCCCATGAAGTGATGAGACCGGATGCCATTATCTTAGTTTTCTGAATGTTGAGTCTTAAGCCAACGTTTTCACTCTCCTCTTTCACTTTCATCAAGAGGTTCTTTAGTTCTTCTGTTTCTGCCATAAGCGTGGTGTCATTTGCATATCTGAGGTTATTGATATTTCTCCCAGCAATCTTGATTCCAGCTTGTGCTTCATCCAGCCCAGCGTTTCTCATGATGTACTCTGCATATAAGTGAAATAAGCAGGGTGACAATATATAGCCTTGATATACTCCTTTCCCTATTTGGATATTTGACCTTGGAGTACAGAATGAAGCAGGGCAAAGGCTAATAGAGTTCTGCCAAGAGATCGCACTGGTCACTGCAAACACCCTCTTCCAACAACACAAGAGAAGACTCTACACATGGACATCACCAGATGGTCAATTCCAAAATCAGGTTGACTATATTCTTTGCAGCCAAGGATGGAGAAGTTCTATACAGTCAGCAAAAACAAGACCAGGACCTGACTGTGGCACAGACCATGAACTCCTTATAGCCAAATTCAGACTTAGATTGAAGGAAGTAGCAAATATGACAGTATTTTACAGGAGGGCATTAAAGAGGAAAAAAAAACAAAAACCTATAAGCAAATCTCCAGAGTGGACAGTAAGCACACTAGACACTGTGCATCACCCAAAGTGTCCATGAAACTGTAATTAAAAAGCTAATTTGGCTTTAAAACAGCCAAATATAAATGGTAACAGTCATTCTAAAACAAACTGCACAGCCAGGAGGAATGAAAAGATTAACAAGTATATTTTAGAAAGATTACTCTGGCAGCAACATAAAAAAGAACATCAGGGTATCCAAACTAGAAAAGAATATTTCAAGATTATAGGTGAGACAGTGAGTTATGGTGATAAGATATGAAAACTGATAAGCAGGCAGAAAATACTGAACTTCCTGAGTGACTGGAGCCGGTAATTTCAAGGAAGATTGGAGTCCAGGATTTTTCCTGCTGTGGCACTTCAGTGATGCTGTCTACTAGGATGTGGAGGACAGATGAAGGGATAGCTTACAAAGAGTCAGGGATGAGGGACGCGTCAGGGACAATGCCTTCAGTTTGGGGTGTAATAAATTATTTTGAGGCATGCAAGGGACTCAGAAGAAAGGATGTGGGTAAAAACATTTGAATTAGAAATAGATAAACTTATTCAGGAAAAACATATACTTTAAAGATAATTATTTGTAAAAGATACTAACTTGGTATAATTAATGCAAACCTAGGCAGAATTCTGAACCTTAGAAAATAAAACAATACCAGGGAAAGAAACAATACCAAGAAAACTATGAGATTAAAACGGTCAATTATATATTTCAACGTGTTTCAAGGATATAAGAATATACTTTTAAAAATATATGCAAATACTCATTTCTGTCATATTACCATAATAAGCATTTTTAAGTTTAATGAAAAGGTTTAATTGTAAAACACCAATTCAAGATACTACAAGAAGACTCTGTTTTAAAATTGATCTTAAAAGACAAGTTTTAATTTGTAGAAGAGAAATGCTTATGTGAGGATGGAATTATGAGGCATTTTAAAGAACTACTATGACATAAGAAAGAAACAGAAAACCCTACTTGAAAACATCTCATTCAAAATTGATGGAGAAATCAAAAGGTTTACAGATGAAACAAAAGTTAAGAGGATTTAGCACCATCAAACCAGCCTTACAACAAATACTAAAGGGACTTACAGCCAATAAACACAAGAGAAAGGAAAGATCTACAAATACAAACCCGAAACAATTAAGAAAATGTCAACAGGAACATATATATCGATTATTACTTTAAATGTAAATGGATTCAATGCACCAACCAAAAGATACAGAATAACTGAATGAATACAAAAACAAGAGCCATATACATACTGCCCACAAGAGACCCGCTTCAGACCTAGAGACAAATACAGACTGAAAGTAAATGGATGGAAAAAGATATTCCATTTGAATGGTAACCAAAAGAAAGCCAGTGTGGCAATCTTTATTTCACACAAAATAGACTTTAAAATGAAAAATATCATAAGAGATGAAGAAGGACACTACATGATGATCAAAGGATCAATCCAAGAAGAAGACATAGCAATTGGAAATATTTATGCCCCCAATATAGAAAAACCACAATGCACAAGGCAAACAGTAACATGCACAAGAGGGGAATTCAACAGCAATACAGTCATAGTGGGGGACTTTAACACCCCACTTACACCAATGGACAGATCATCAAGACAGAGAATCAATAAGGAAACACAAAACTTCAATGAAACAGTAGACCCAATGGACCTAGTTGATATCTTCAGGACTATCCATCCAAATGCAGAAGAATACACTTTGTTCTCAACTGCACATGGAACATTCTCCAGGATAGACCACATCTTGGGCCACAGATGAAGCCTCAGTAAATTTTAAAAAACTGAAAATGTATCACGTATCTTCTCTGACCACAGCACTATGAGACTAGATATCAACTACAGGAGAAAAATGGCAAAAAACACAAATTCATGGAGATTAAACAATTCATTACTGAATAATGAAAAGGTTATTGAAGAAATAGGCAGGGAAATCAAAAGTTTCCTAGAAACAGATGACAACAAAAACACGACCACCCAAAACCTATGGGATTCAGTAAAAGCACTTCTAAGAGAGAAGTTGATAGCAGCACAATCCTACCTCAAGGACAAGAAAAGCACTGAACAGGCAACACTCTACATTTAAAGCAGCTGGAAAAAGAACCAAACCCCCGAAAGTCAGCAGAAGGAAAGAAATCATACAGATCAGAGCAGAAATAAATGAAAAAGAAAATGAAGGCAACAACAGCAAAGATTGATCAGACTAAATACTGGTTCTTTGAGAAGATAAGCAAAATGGACAAACCACTAGCCAGACTCATCAAGAACAGAAGGGAGAAAAATCAAATTGACAAGACTAGAAATGAAAAAGGAGAGGTTACAACAGACAACACAGAAATGAAAAGGATCATAAGAGAACGTTATGAGCAACAATACGCTAATAAGAGGGACAACTGAGAGGAAATGGACAGATTCTTAGAAAAGTTCAACCTCCTAAAACTGAATCAGGGAGAAATAAAAATGACAAACAAGCCAATTACAAACACTGAAATAGAAAGTGTTATCCAAAATCTCCCAAAAACAAAAGCCCAGGGCCAGATGGCTTCGCAGGGGGATTTTATCAAACATTTAGAGAAGAGCTAATGCCTACTTTTCTGAAACTCTTCCAAAAAATTGCAGAGGAAGGAACACTTCCAAACTCATTCTATGAGGCCACAATCACCTTGATACCAAAACCAGGCAGAGACAACACAAAAAAGAAAATTACAGGCCAATATCACTGACAAACACAGATGCAAAAATCCTCAACAAAATACTAGCAAACACAATTCAACAACACATTCAATAGCTCATACACCATGATCAATTCGGGTTTATGCCAGGGATGCAAGGATTCTTCAATATGCACAAACCAATTTCAATGTGGTGCACCATCTTAACAAATTGAAAAATAAGAACCATGTGATCATCTCGATAGAGGCAGAAAAAGCCTTTGACACAGTTCAGCACCTGTTTATGACAAAAACGCTTCAAAATATAGACACAGGAGGAGCCTATGTCAACACAGTAAAGGCCATATAGGATAAACCCACAGCAAACATTATTCTCGATGAGGAAAAATGAAAAGCATTCCCTCTAAGATCAGGAACAAGACAACATTGTCCATTCTCACTATGATTATTCAGCATGGGTTTGGAAGTCCTAGCTATGGCAATCAGAAGAAAAAGAAATAAAAGGAATCCAGATCTGAAAAGAAGTAAAACTCTCAGTTATGCAAATGACATGATACTACACATAGAAAACCCAAAAGAAACTATTTTCTAGTAAAAAAAATTACTAGAGCTCAACAGTGAATTTAGCAAAGTTGTATGATACAAGGTCAATACACAGAACTCACTTGAATTCCTATACACTAACAATGAAAAATCAGAAAGTGAAATTAAGGAGCCAATCCCATTCACCACTGCAACAAAAAGAATAAAATATCTAGCAATAAACCTGCCTAAGGAGACAAAAGACCTGTATATGGAAAATTCTAAGACGCTGAGGAAAGAAAAGAAAGACGACATAAACAGGTGGAGAGATATTCCACATTCCTGGGTAGGAAGAATGAATAGTGTGAAAATGACTGTACTACCAAATGCAATCTACAGATTCCGTGTGATCACTGTCAAATTACCAATGGCATTTTTCACAGAACTAGAGCAATATATGCAATGGAATATCACTCAGCCATAAAGAGGAACACATCTGAGTCAGTTCTAACAAGGCTGACAAACCTAGAGCCTATTCTCCGGAGTGAAGCAAGTCAGAAAGAGAAATATAAATATCATATACTATTCGCACATATATGGAATCTACCAAGATTCTGAATCTACAAAGGTACTGATCAATTTATTTGCAGGGCAGCAATGGAGAAACAGACATAGAGAACGGACTTATGGACATGGAGGAGGGGAGGAGGGTCAGGGTGAGATGGATGGAAAGAGTAACATGGAAACTTACAATTTCATGTGTAAAATAGAGAGCCAGTGGGAATTTGCTGTATGACCCAGGGAGCTCAGAAAGGGACTCTGAGACAATGTAGAAGGGTGGGATGGGGAGGCAGATGGGAGGGGGTTTGGGAGGGAGGGGACATGGGTGTACCTATGGCTGATTCTTGGTGATGTTTGACAGAAAACAACAAAATTCTGTAAAGTGATTATCCTTCAATTAAAAAATAAATACATTTTCTAAAAACCCCATTTGAAAATTTCATCGTTTTCTTCTTTTTTCCCTGTAAACAGCACACTAACGGCTCTAATTTTCTATCTATGCCTTCTGCGATGGCAGATAAAGATTGAAGGAACAATCTAGATATTAAAAACGTAGTAAAGCTATGATTATCCAAGTTGGAGATTTCAAACTTTTCAAATACATCTATGATTATCAAGCAGGGTTCAATATTCACATCAGGAAAGAACAAATAAGCTGAAAAAATCAAGTAACCACAATGACTGAGTTTTAAATATGGAAGAATTAGCATTTTTGTTTAACATCTATAAGAAAGAACTGATATGCTAATTTAACACCAATAAATACTGAAGCTAATAAAGTTTCTTAAAAATAAAACTTAACTTAAAAATAACTTCTTAGAAAAACCATCTTAAAATTTTATTCTTTAATAAAATTCTTAAAATGGAATATACATATTACTAGAGATATTTTAAAGAGTAAAAAAATTATCTCTCTGAGACCATTTTACAAACTGTTGGTAATTCTTCTTTCCTTATGATTTTATAACAAGTAGTCTACATAAGAGAAAAATCATGAACTGTGATTTCATTCATTTAATATGTGTAATTGCCCATTACTTGCAGATATTAGGAAAAGATAAATCAGAATCTCTCCGGAGGTGGGGGGGGGGGTCTACATTTTTTTCTTTAAGACTGTTGCAGCTTAAAATTTTCTTATGTCATGAAGAGAGTTTAAGAATCTCATTTATATAATTATAAATTAGAAGTTTAGTAAAAGAGAAGATAAAATGCTTACTTATTTCCTCCTTATTTTCAAAAAGATCCAAAACCGCCACCAAGACTATACCAAACAGTAAGATAAATTAGCTAAGTACCTTAAGTATGTATCAAACAGTAAGTTAGTAACCACAAGAAACGGAAGGGCCACAAACTCTTCATTCATAATATATCTGCTAAGGCCTAAAACAGAGCTCAGCTAGAACTTCCTACGAATGAAAGTTTTGCTAGATTAAATAGAAGACACTGCTTCATTCATTTCAAAGTGAGAATTTTTTTTAAAAAGAGTAATCACTTCAACTTGAAATGAACTTCCAGAGGGAACTATATTCAATATAGATATATACATATACAAGTGTAACCAAGTCACATTGCTATACACCTGAAACTAACACAGTATTGCAAATGCCTACACTTCAATTAAAGAAGAAAAAACAAAAACAACCACCAACCTCGAAAACAACCACCAAAAAAGCTAAGGATCAAATTTTCTTTCAGATCTTCATAAAACTCAGCTATACGTCATTCAGAAGAGTCGAAGTATTGAGTTTTCACGACCTCACTCTCTCCTAAGTTGAATTTGAAATAATTCATCTCATATTTATAATATGGAGTACCTCATCTGACTTACCCTCACTATTTCTGTTGTGTTTGTAAAATAATCTGTTTCATCTTGACCTTCATTCCATCTCATATTCATCTTATCCTTCTTAAATGAATTCTTCCCCTTCATTGCCCTCCCCATCTCTTCACATTCATCTAGCTGTTTTTCCTAATTGCTTTGTAATTCTTTTCTTTCAAAATGGCATACTTAGTATGCCAACATTTATAAATCTGAATCATGCAGATATATTGCTCTTATTATCACATCATTTTGTATCGGGACTTTGAAGCCTTCCATTTCCACGGTGGAATCCTTTTTGTCATCATAAGGATCAAGGGAATGGTGTGTGGAAAAGTACAGGGGAAAAAAAGAGTTAAAAACAACACCACTTACCTGTGCAAGACCAAGGCCTGCTAGAGTCTTGAGTGGTTTTGGAAGAGGATCAGGCCTTGGAAAGGCAGGATGAGGGAAGCCCTGGACTCCAGGTGATGGTTTGGGAAAGGTTTCAAGCACATCTTCAATTTCACTATCAGAATTATTGTTCTCAGAGAAGGTGGTACTCTCTCGTCTCGCAATGCCACATTCTGCTTCTAATATAGTAAAAACAGGGGAGAGTACATGAGAACCTGTGTAATTTCAAATCAGTGAATAACACCAGGAGGACAATCTTCAAATAACTTACCGTTTCTCCTGGATTGCTGAAAAGCCTTCAGTAGCTTTGCTAAGTTTGATTTCGGGACATGCTGGAGAAGAAAATAAGAGCTTGAAGAATAACAAGTATCAACTTGAATAAAAGAATTATAATCACCCCGCCCCCATTACTGTATGATCTAACACAAAGAGCACAGGCTCTGGAGTCATTCAGATGTGGATTCAGATCCCAGTTCGGCCACTGACTCACCTGCAGGCACACTGAAACCATAATCACAGAAAACTAGCCAATCTGATCACAGGACCACAGCCTGGTCTAACTCAATGAAACTGAGCCATGCCGTGTGGGGCCACCCAAGACGGACGGGTCATGGTGGAGAGGTCGGACAGAATGTGGTCCACTGGAGAAGGCAATGGCAAGCCACTTCAGTATTCTTGCCTTGAGAACCCCATGAACAGTATGAGAAGGCAAAATGATAGGATACTGAAAGAGGAACTCCCCAGGTCGGTAGGTGCCCAATCTGTTACTGGAGATCAGTGGAGAAATAACTCCAGAAAGAATGAAGGGGTGGAGCCAAAGCAAAAACAACACCCAGTTGTGGATGGGACTGGTGATAGAAGCAAGGTCCGATGCTGTAAAGAGCAATATTGCATAGGAACCTGGAATGTTAGGTCCATGAATCAAGGCAAATTGGAAGTGGTCAAACAGGAGATGGCAAGAGTGAATGTCAACATTCTAGGAATCAG